CATGCCAAGCAGTCAGTTTTCAACCGTGAGTTTACTCAGTTATTATCTGTCTGAATACTTGAAGCAAACCTGTCAAAAATTGTACTATTATTTCAAAAGTTTATTTGGTAAATGGTTAGTTTCATTAAAATCTAATAGTTATTTTACTAGAACTAGATCAACAGTTGACAGCAATTTGAATAATCGTAAAGATACGGTTGGGAAATCGCGAGTGAATCTTTTCAACTATCGCTGGCGATTGAGAACTTATTGCAGTGACGCTAAAATGCAAAATTCTGACAACAGAGAAGAAAATTCACAGAAAGAAATTGGTTTTATCACCCCTTTTCAAAATATGAGGTAAGATTGTTTTCTGTTTTCATTTTTAAGTAGTTAAGTTTACGCTTCATAATTCGTGGAAATAATTCCTAAGATAATTTTAGTACGTTTGAGAACATTTATTTATAAAAACTATTTATTCATAGTATGAATATGAACATTTTCTACTTTAGCAATTATTATATAAGAAAAATAAAGACTGAATCTTCATTTGAAGTGAACAAGAACTATAAAATAAAATTACCAGTCAATTGTACTTAATAGTACAAAATGTTATTATATAAAAATAGTGTTGGCAAAAAAATTATTAAATAAACTTCAACCGTAAATAAAAGTTGACATGAGAAATTTTTCTTATACACATCTGGTATTTACAGTTAAGATAAATTATATTATTGTCCAATTGTATGACAGCTAAATTAAATTGCATCTTTTCATTACGTCGAATTCCAAAACTGAAGGTGAAGTACAATTAGAAATTAAAAAAAAATTTGTTTAAATTTTACATATAGTTTGAATATATTTAATTGAATAGCATCTACATGTTTTTTTTTTTCTAATTTTGTACTAAAATTTAATTTCAAGAAAGTTAATTTTATTATCCAAAAAATTATTTTAAAAGCCAAATTTAACAGGATCTTTGATCAAAATCTTTCAAAATTTGACGTGATCTTTTAAAGCTTGATATTTAAGCACTATAAAAATACACCAAGGATAGATTTTTTTTGAAGCTATGTGAAAATATCTGTTCATATACGACAAAAAAAAAAAAATTATTGTTATGTCAAAAGCCGACTAAAACTGTTGAATTATTAGTTTTAATAGTACAAGCCTTCGTTAAATTTATTTCTCACCGATTTTCTAAAAATTAAAAATTTTTTTCATTTATGATCGTAGATAGTAGATATTTAGGATCATAGATATCCAACATATATGAAAATTAATATGGTTTTCATGAATGATGCATGTAAAAAATTGTTCATATTCACTTTCGGCGACAATATATACAAAATGGATGTGTGGATTATGGTGTTTTAAAAAAAATTTTTTTTCCAAAAAACATTGTAAAACGATCCAGTATCCATAGAAGATGATTTTTTTAAAATATAAGGGAAATTTTTTTTTTCAAATTTAGAATTTTGTAACTTCATAAGACATTATTTCCAGAAATTATCAATGCATGTTTTTATAGAGTTTTAAGTGCACTATAAAAAAAGTATAAATTGAGATTTGGGTCAGTCAGAGATGAAATTATTTAAATATAAACATGACAAAATTTATTTACAACACTTAAATACCCAATATTATCAACTTCTTAGGAAATACATTGTACGTTTAAATAATTTACGGAGATAAGAAAAATTAACTCAATTTAAGAGCACAAATTTATAATCAAGGGGTAATTTTGAAAAAAAAAATTTTTTCTGAACTAAAAAAGAAAATTCTTAAAACAATAATTTTTTTTTGGTTCAAGAACTCTTTTGCTTGATTCCGGATTTTCGAAGTCATAAATATACATGTTAAAATTTCATTTTCCTTTTTCAATAGACCAGCAAAATTTTACACACTACAAAAGATTAATACAAAAAGACCAGCCTTAAAATTTCAAACAACAAATAACAACCCACTTTGTTTTTGTCTAGCCTGAACCAAAGCTTAAACGACAGTACCTTTGAAAACGCCTTATCTGCATCCCAATTCACATACCACAGCTTAATGGAGGAGAGTACACATGGAAAAGAAGCTAAATCTCCAAGCTTACTGACATCTGGAAAACTTAATACTTTCATGTCGAGCAGCACACAGTAAATATACTTTTTCTTTTTTATTTTTTTTTTTTTTAAGAATAACAACAATATTCACCGAGGATGATGCTATAAAAAAATCAAAACTTATTTCAGCTCAATACCGAGTCTTGTAAACTCAGGTAACACAATGCTGCCCTTTGACCATATTTGGATAGCTCAACTTTGTACCTGGCTTCACGCCCGAGGGCTTCAGCATTACGGTGCGACTTTTCCAAATCTCTTTACCAATGAAGTCTTCCACTGTCCGCGAAGTAAATTTGTTGAAGAATGCGGACACATTGACGGTCCCCACATTTATGACGCTATTCAATTGCTATATTGGATCCACAGAAACAGTTTTGGACATCTTTGGCATCAGCTTTCTGGATTTTCTTTCCAAGATATTACTTCTTTTTCTAAAAAAGACCTAACGTCTATTTGCGGTCGCAACGATGGGCTTCGTTTGTACTACGCATTGAAAGTAAAACTCACCATCTACTGCGCTTTGGAAAACAATGAGAATGAGAATTACAATTGGAAAGTTATATCCCTAAGGAAAGTAACTGTTGAAGAACTGATAAAACAACTTACTGCTAAATTTGATTTGCCACAAAATCAGATTCAATCGACGAAACTTATAGAAACTCTTGGAATTCACATTGTACTAGACGATGATTTGTTGACCCGATTTAAGAACGGCACTGAATATGTCATTCAACTAGTTCCAGGTAATTTATATTCTTAGCTTATATCAAGATTTTCCATGCACGGAAAAAAGTAAACTGTAATAAATAACAGTCGATTTATAATAAGTAATGATCAACTGTTAAAAATTACCATTTCAAACAGTAAAATCGTGCTTTTACTATTCACTTTATAATATTTACAATTTAAACGTTACAATTTACTCTTTACATGGAAGAATAAATTACTATTTCAAACAGTAATATTCGCTATTTAAATATCTAAAATGTTAAAGTATAATAATTAAGAATTCAGACTTTGATATTTATCATTACGTACCTAAAAAATGATCTTATGATATGTAAAAAGTATAATATAAAGTTAGTAAATTCCTAATACAAGCAACGTCAATATTTTCAAAGTAAAATGGTAAATTTTAAACGCAACGCTAAAAACCAAACTGTAATTATTGACTTGCTTGAACTGGTAAAATGTATATTTTAAAAGTATAATTTTTACTGTTTCAAATGTTAAATTCTCCCAAAGTGAAACCCCCTTCTCTTTCATCTGAGTTCCCCTTCTCCTCATAATATGGACTATATATTGAAATAGCAATTTTTACTGTTTGAAACTGTAATTTTTTAAGATGAAAGAGTCGTTATTTACTATAGTGACAGCTACTAATCACTTATTTTAGATATTAAATTTAATGATTAAACGAGCTTACCTGTAAATGAAGTTCAATCATAATTGTATGGAGCGCCTCTTCCTCGAGATCAAGTTGTAGTACCTCTACTATGTGCCTTCGTCACCACAATTTTTCAAAGTGTAAAATAGAAAAAGTTGTGTCTGCGCATGACCTGCGCCGCCATGACACTTCATTCTTTTGAAAGTTGTGCCGTAACAAAAAAAAGGGGTTCTTACTCATCTCGAATGATAGTAAGAAAAGGGAATTTTGTCGGGAGGGAGTTGATCTCTTCGGAAGAGGCGCTCCATACAATTATGATTGAACTTCACTTACAGGTAAGCTCGTTTAATCATTAAATTGTATTTCGTGCCTCTTCCTCGAGATCAAGTTGTAGTACCTCTACTATGTGCCTTCGTCACCACAATTTTTCAAAGTGTAAAATAGAAAAAGTTGTGTCTGCGCATGACCTGCGCCGCCATGACACTTCATTCTTTTGAAAGTTGTGCCGTAACAAAAAAAAGGGGTTCTTACTCATCTCGAATGATAGTAAGAAAAGGGAATTTTGTCGGGAGGGAGTTGATCTCTTCGGAAGAGGCGCTCCATACAATTATGATTGAACTTCACTTACAGGTAAGCTCGTTTAATCATTAAATTGTATTTCGTGCCTCTTCCTCGAGATCAAGTTGTAGCTATTATAGCTGTCTGGTTTAAAGTAAATAGGCTCAGAATCGAGCATGGATAAAAATACTGGAAACCAAGCTTGAGCGGGCCAATGGGGTACCACTAATACGCCTCGGGCTTCATCCACTCGGACTTTCTCCAGCACCCGTAAAATAGTGGAAAAAGGTGGAAAAGCATAAAAGAATTTTGATTTCCAACTGATGGTAAATGCGTCAATAGCTATCGATCCCGGATCTTTTTTCCAGGACACGTACCGCGTGCATTTAGCGTTAGCTCGGGTAGCAAAAAGATCAATTTTTGGTTCTCCAAACTTATCTATAATAGCGTTAAAAGCATAATCCGCAAGACTGTACTCTGTCTCTGGTTCAAGTCTTCTAGACTCAAAGTCAGCGATAGAGTTGTCTTTTGAGCGAATATAGGATGCAAAAATCCACAAATCTCTTTTTTCACGCCATGTCCAGATTTCTTTAGCTAACATGCTCAGCTGCGGAACCCTCATACCGCCTTTCTTGTTGATGTACGCAATAGCAGTGGTATTATCTACCCTCAATAGGATGTCACAGGATCTTAAGTCCTCACAGAAATACTTTAACCCAAAAAATACTGCTTTTAGTTCTAGAATGTTTATGTGTAGGGAACGTTCATATTCTTTCCAATGACCATGTACTCGGTTGTCTTTGCAGACTGCTCCCCACCCTGACGTTGAAGCATCTGAAAAGATTTCTATAACGGGCTTGAATATTTTAATAGAGTTTTTAGCTACTAACACGTGTTTCTTCCACCAATCAAGGTCATCTTTTAAGTTTGATGTAATAGTCATGTCGCGATCATAATTATCTTTATTACTCCGCAGAGCTACGAATCTCTCTCTCAAAACTACGCATATGGACTCTACTATACTTTAGTGTTGGACTACACGATTCCAGAGTACCAATAAAAGCAGCAAACTCTCTAATCTTACATTTCTTGATTCGATCAAACTTCCTAACTAATTCAGTTACTCTGTTTTTCTTTTCGATTGGAAGTTCTACTACCATTTCCTTAGAATCATAAACTAATCCTAAAAATTTACATCGTTTGGACGGTGTTAACTGACTTTTTTCAAAATTTATAATAAATCCGAGTTTTTTTAATAATGCAAGAGCGATCCTTGCATTTTTGTAACACATCTCAAACGATAGGCCTATTACTAAATTATCGTCTAAATAAATTACCAGTAAGATTTTTAATAACCTCAAATATGAGACGACTGGTTTCATAATTTTTGTAAAAATATATGGAGCAATATTTAGACCGAAAGGTAAACAGGTAAACTCATAAATTTTTCCAAGAAATTGGAATCTCAAATATTTTCTATCTGATTCAGCAACCAAAATTAAGTAATAAGCATCCTTTAGATCAATAGATATCATAAAACAATCTGAGGTTAACAATTTTCTAACAACTTTACTGTCTTCAAGATTAAAATGCTCAGTGTCAATAAACTCATTGAGATTTTTAAGGTTTAAAATTAAGCGATAACCTCCATCTGGCTTACTAACAAGGAAAATATTAGACAAGAATTGACCGAGGGTAGCATTAGTCTCCGCAATAGCTCCCTTTTTCAACAACTCATCTAATTGCTGATTTATAGCTAAACGTTCTTGCTCAGACCAATGAGGTTCTGAAGGAGGGCGAGCCTGAAATACTTTCCTTGAAAAGGGGATTTTAACCCCACGGACCCAGCTCAAGATGGTCTCGTCGGAGGTGATTTCCGACCAAGACTTAGAAAAAGATCTTAAACGTCCTGCTGGACAACTTACACTGTCATCCATGATTATTTCTTGGACTGTGGATAACTCTTCTTCGGTTGCTTGTGGCTCCGGTAAGTCTTCTGAGATGATGTTGATTTCTGCCCGCTCGTCGTCGAGTTGTTGTAAGATTTGTATGATGGGCGACGAGACGGGCCCTTCAAGTTTTTTGATTCATTATTTGAACCTGTTTGAGCTGCTGGTTTGATCTTCTTGGCAGTTGATTCCAAGAGTCGAGCTGCCTTAAATTTTTCATCCAAGCTTCCGCCGAATAACCACTCATTCGATGAAGTAGACTTAAGGATATCACGTTTAGAAGGGTCAATATTTTTTAAGATTAAACTCCTTCTAATTTCCGATTCCTCATGTTGCAAGTCTGCTAAAATTCTGGAAACACCACCCAATATCTCCAGCATGGCCAATTTTTGGTCCTGTGGAAGCTGCAAGGTCATTGACATCAGCTTAGTTATACCAGCTAGACTTGCTGATATACGGGCCTGTTTTTCTACAATGCGATCGTCTCTTTTTACGATGCTATCAGGAATATTAGTTTTAATTTCAAAATTGAGCTTGGGTGGGTCCATAAATAGACCATTTTCTGGAGGTGGAAATTTTTGCAAGAGAGTCTTTTTCTCGGTTGTTGGAAGACCTTTGTTAATGATCTCTTCGACTCTGACGGCAAGATCCTTGTGAATAGCTGGCAATAGAACTCTGTCTGGGTTTAATCGGTCTCCAATTATTTTTAGAACCTCTAGTTCCAAGGGTTGTTCCCCAGGAGTCGAAGATGTAGCCACACCAGTAGCACTCGACATTGGAGCTGGTGCAGTCTTCTGAGTTGCCAAATCAGCTGTAGGATCGACTGGCGCCGTATTCTGAGTTGTCAAATCAGCTGTAGGATCAGTTGTAGGGTCTGCCGTATTAACAGGTGGCTGCGACGTTGGTAGTGTATGATTCTTGTTGATACTTTCAGTATCTGCCGATACTGTTCCTCTAGAATTTTTACTAGAATCATCCACTGTCTTTTCACGACTGCGAGAACGATACTCTGACCGACTGTCATAATGATCAGTCTCGCTATCATTGTATCTTGATCGTTCATAATAGCGTCTTGGAGATGAGCTTCTACGAGAGTCACGGTGATATCTGTAATCCTGATCGTCTCTCCGAGACGAATGACCGCGACGATCGTAGTAATCACCTGCAGACAATCTTAAATTAAATTCTATTCTTTTTTTTTTTTTTTTTTTGACAATCATAATTATAACCTAGCAGAGGTTAGACTGTTTGATCAGCTGTTGCATTTTTAAACAATCCTTGCAAGGTATTGTTTATGTTGCAACTATAACCTAAATTTACGTGTCAATTGGATTGGCACTTAAATTTAAATTCACCAAGTATTTTTCGGACAATCCTTGCAAGGAATTGTCAATATTACTTTGGTGTGGGGTTACTCCAGCGTCGGTTGTACCGGCGAGGTTAGTAAGTAGCTGTATGTAAATTATTTCGACTCACTAGTTGCAGACCAGAAGCCGAATTTTTACAATATCAACTTAATTATTATTATACATAGATATAATGATTTTCCCATGATAATATTTTTTAATAATGATCAATTTTTGATGAAATTATTAAATTTTTTATTTAATTACCATGTGACGACTCGGGCACAAAGATGAAGAAATGAAGTGTCATGGCGGCGCAGGTCATGCGCAGACACAACTTTTTCTATTTTACACTTTGAAAAATTGTGGTGACGAAGGCACATAGTAGAGGTATTACAACTTGATCTCGAGGAAGAGGCGCGAAATACAATTATAAATTGTGGCTTTTATATACTTTTTACATTAAGTTCTGTAATATTTATATTTTTGCCACCCCGATGTCCGCTTTACTGTTTGTAACTATAAAAATTAACCGGAATTCGAGTGAATATTACAGTTTACTTTTTTCCATGTGTAAGATAGTAAAGTTTATCATAGAAGGTATACATTAAAAAAAATTTTTGCTGTCATAACAAAAGAAAAATACGTAGCGATTTGTTATCATAACAAAATGATATCGGTCAATGTAACAAAATGGCATTTGGTATGGTAAGTCAGTTCCTTGGTAAGAAATTTAATACCTGCTTGATCTGAAAAAGCAACCTTTAGATATCTTGTCCCCATTTTTCTGTTGAGACATTAGGTTTTTACAACCAAAGAAGTGTACAGATTTTTTTCAATCAAATGATCAATTATTGCGGTTAATTACAAATTATAATAAAATAATTTTTTCTTGCATCTAGTGGAAAATTTTACCATCAATATTAATTTTAAAATATTTACTCTTGAGTTTTGCTACGCGCAAAAAAATAAAGCTTCTCTATTTGTTAAGCAATATTTATCTATTGCAACAAAAGAATGAGTCAGTTTTTGATTCGATACGGTAAACAATTTAGCAATTTTTTGTGAGCATGGAAGTTGTTATCAGAACTATAAAAGTTAGCTTCATTTATCTAACGTCGCAATAACTGACTCATAGATTATGTATCAAAATTAAAAAAAAATTTACTTTAATTATTTTTAATTTTTAAAAATTTAGTAAATATATTTTTACTCCTTTATTAACGATACTATTGTTACCGTTAGTATACAGTTTTCCAAACCTCACTCTCCTTTAGATAGCAACGTGTGGATCATGACAGTACACGGAGAAAAATTAATTATACTACCTACTGTACAAAAATATTTACTCCTACTATCTAAAATGCTAATAAAATTAATTAGTAACAAAATAATAGGTGGTATCATTGACAATTGTCATAGTTACTATTAATAATGGTAATGATTACTATCAAAAATAATGATTGTAATTATTATAAACTATAACTGTTACAATCGAAGATGGTAACTGTAACCATCTCAGATTGTAAAAATTTTGAAAGAAAAAATAATATAAATTTATTTCATTAAATCCTTTATTTAGATCCATATTTGAGCTAATGTACATTTTTTCATTTGAAATATTAAAATATTTTAAATTCCCATCAAAATTTTTTTTTGAAACTTTGACTTTTTTGAAGATTAAAATTTTTTTTTTTGACATTTTAATTTCTTTTTTTTTAATTTGAATTTTATTGAAAATTTTGATTTTTTTGGAAATTAAAAATTTTTTTTCAAAAAAAATGCATCCACGGTAACGCAGATTCTTAATTTTTCAAATATTTTTTACTAGCTTAGATAGTAGTTATTATTATTACTAATGGTAACTAGAAACATCAGGTTATATCAGGAATTACGATTTTGATAATAGTAGTAACTAATTAAAATAATAACAGTTATTATCACTGATTACCATTATAATACCATCAGGATGGTAAATACTACAATTCAGATGGTTTACTTAGATATTTAAATAATATTTACTACTATCGAATTCAGTTAATAGATTTTAACATAACTATTATCTATAGATAATAAACTCTACTATAAAATTTTCTCCGTGTAGCAATATCGTATCGTGCAGAGCAGAAAACTTTTTTTTTAGTGTGACTTTAATAGTTCAGACTATAACTTACATGCTTACGAAAAGTTGTTAAATTGTTTACCGTATCTAATCAAAAAACTGACTCATTGTATTATTGCAATCGATAAATATTGCTTAACATATAGAGAAGCTTTTATTTTTTTGCGCCGGAAAACTAAAGAGTGAAGTTTTCAACTAAGTATTGATGTTAAAATTAATTTTCTAATAGATGAAAAAAAAATTTTTTTATTAAAATTAACCGCAATTATTGATCAATTGAAAAAAAATCTGTACATTTCATTAGTTGCAAAAACTTTATTTCCCGAAAAAAATGGCAACATGATACTTAAAAGATCGATGTGTCAAATCAAGTAATAACAACAATAATTCATTTTCAAATCAAATTTTTATTTACTATAATATAATGAATGTTACCTTAATCAATATCATTTTGTTCTGATAACGAATAATGCGTGTTTCAGATACATGTGTTAGTATTTATTATTTCAGTGTCATTGAATCTACTCATTTCATCGCGTTATTTATGGCAAAACTACACATAAAATTTTTTTTTCTTAGAGCCAAAAAGGCGTAAAATAGAAAAAATATGTTTTTTATTACTTGAGCAAATTTTTACATAACTAACATCTGTCAAACGAATGGAAAAAAAAATTTTTTAACGTCCTTTTGAAATGCGATGTATTTATAACCATTAGATAATAACTATAAACAATAAATTATTCCAATTAAACTTTGACGACTACGTTGAAGGATACATTCTCACTTAAAACAATTAACCTATTAGAAATCCTTCGTACATAATCAGTAAATGAATTTTATTTTACATCTTCGAAGAATTAATAATTGATAGCTATTTTTCAAGTTTTTGGGATTACTTCATTCTTTTTTTTTTTACTATTTTGATGTTTTTTGCATTCCTATCGATTGATAAGAGACTTTGAAGTTTAGAGACAAAAAATTTATTTTTTTATGTATACTTTTTTGTAGATAATTACCATTGTACACACATTAAACCCTACAATACAAGGATAATTGACGTTATTGTATAATTATCTCTAATATACTTTAATTTTTTTTTTATTTATCACGATGTCTTAAAAGTGTTTTTGGTGATTTTTTTCAGCTCACAAATCTGGATTTTCTAAACTACGTTTCAAGCCATACTGTGGATAGGTATATAATTAGTTAAGTATTACCCACAAATAATGTGAGAAGCAAATTTGTGATTATTATGAACAAAATAGGTCTATAGAGTTTATATATTTTGATATTACAACATTTGTTTATTTATACTTAAAATAGCACTCGTTAAATAAAGTTACATAAGAAAAGTATTCCAAATTAATTAATATGTTCAACTTCTATAGCTTCAAAAATCAATTATTTTCATCAATTAGGAAGTTATTGGTTTCGACTGAATTTTTGAAAATGGAATTCTTATCCTCATCACATTTACACGTTTTGGGGTTCTAGGAAGCAGTTCTAACTATTTTCACTTTTCACAAGAATATTACTATGTGTATATTCTATGTGTATTACTATGTGTATAGTCTATTGGCATTAAATTTCATGTAAGTTTGAATTAATTAAAAAAAAAAAAAAAAAATGTTATTTTGAGATAACTTTAAACTAGAGAATCGATCGATTCCAAAATCTTATCGAATTTTAACCTAAAAAAAAAAACTTCGATTATAGCAAACTGCATCAAAATTGGTAAATTCGTTTGAGAAATATCGTTGTCGAAAAATTAAAAAAAAAAGCGTTTTTTTTTCGTATAATTTTAAAATTTCTTGTCAGATCATATTGCAGGTGGTAATTAATATTTTCATGCTGAAAAACTGAAAGAATATATTTTTGTGCTTAATCAAATTTATTAAATGCCACAAAACTTAGTATTGTAAAAAAATTTTTTAAGCATTTTGAGCTCGACTTTAGCAGGAAGATCCAGGAATGGCCTGCAAAGTCAACAGTTTTTTAGAAATGTTTTTTTTTTTTCAATATATTTATCGAAATGATTAAATCATTGTACTTATTATATTTTCTAATAAAAGTAATTAAGATAATGCATATATTTATAGATTTTATTTTACAAGTCCAAAGCTTTAACTTGAGAATAATTTTAATTTTACAAAACCAAAATATCATGTACTGAACGTTATATTATCAATGCTTATGGATTATTTGGGACTTACCCCCACCACTCGATAATCTTATTGGCCAATCATTTTTCTTGGTTAATTAATAATTTGATTGGTTAATCAAACTACGCAGTAGATTTTTTCGAACTGCGTAGTAGATTACGTCATTTCAATTTTTATAGTTATAACTTTTCCCCCACCATTCAACTTATGATTTTTAGGTTATGTTTATAATTTATTCAAAAACACAAAATTATAAAAAAATTTTTTCTTTATTTACTATTTTTAATTACATTAAGTTTATTTATTATTTTTAATTACATTAAGTTTATTGATTAGTACAGGTTCAATAATTTTATTTGATTCTTGTATTCGTCGGTGAAATCGTTCCAGACTTGATTGACTCGTTCTGCTTGGAACGTTCAATTATAAACAGAGGTGCTTTATTCAGAAAGTCTTTCTTAGCCATTAGGGGTTCAGCTTCTTTTCCATAGTAAGCACTTTGAAAATTTGTGTACATGTCATACATCAAGGCATACTGATTATTCGTAATGTTGAGATTCAAATTTCCATATGGATAACTCTGAGAGTTCAAGACAAGCTTAATGTCTCTTATGTTGCAGTGGTCAAACTCGCTTGCATTTTGATTCGATGGATTTTTTCTTGCTGTTTGAAATCCAACGATGACAAAACGAGATTTATCGAGTTGATTTGTTGTTTTGATTGCCCAAATGTGATTGGTTGTAGCTGGTAGCAGTGGATACTCATACAACTCTCAAGTCCGAAAACTGATTAGGATAGCTGGATCAGAGGTTATGTAATTCAACACCTCAATTTTTTGCTTGTCAGACATTGTTATATATGGTACAATCCACTCAATTTTTTGAATCGTAATTAAAACATTTTCATCCTCAACGTTAACTACATAAGCATTTTGATCAGTATTTGATCTGATCAGTATCAAGTCATGCTTAGCATTCAAAATAACTCGTTGATAATCTTCAGCAAATCCGAGAATAAAACTCAGCGGTACCGAGACATCAAAGTAGCCATTAGGATTGGTCAACTTGTTATTATCTTCATTTACAATCCAACCAGCATTTTCCAGAAT